AGAAACCTATAGGACCAGTCTGATTACATGCTCCTCTTTTCCATATTGTCTCCACTTTAGTCACGCTGCCCTCCATTCAGTCCTGTCATCTTCCCACCACAGGGCTTGTGATTGTATTGTCATCTCCCTAGTAACCCTTTTTTTAAATATATTTTTTAGATTTTTTTATTTATACAAGAACCGGAGTACAGGCCAGATGTGCTGGAGGGTGAGAGGATTCACCAGAGACAAAGCAGGGAGCAGAACAGGCAGACTGACGAAGTACACTGCTGAGGGGAGCAGCGGGTGAGGCAGAGAGGTCTGCAGTGTCATGTGGGACCCTCACTGGCGGCCAGGATAAAACCGGCACTGTAGAGGCTGTGGTCAGCTTCACAGAGCTGCGCTCAACCACTTGCACCACCCTCTACTTTTATCCACCAAGCCTTCCATCAGTTAATGTTCACTCATGCCTTAGATTATGAGTTATGTCTTAAGATAACCCCTTCCAGAGGTCTCTGAAAATGGATTTCCTCCATATATATATATACCCCTTTAGTATTCATTACAGTGATAATTTTACATTTTTTCTATGAGATTCTTTGATTTTTGCCTCTATCAGTTCTTCATAAAGGCAGGGATGGTTTCTTCTTTTTAGCCCCATTTCCAGCACCTAGAAAAGCTGAATGAATGGCACATATTACCATGCCAAGTCATATGTTGGCTGTCAAATGAGGATGGACTATATATATATATATATATATATATATATATTTGTAGTCTTGCTACATATAGTAAAGCTGTGGGATAGAGAAAAGGCAGGTATGTGGTGACGGTAGAGATCCTAGACCTGGACAAGTCTCCTCAGAGCAGTGAAGCAGTGAAGTGATAGGGGTGTGCCATGCATTTGCAGGGAATTAAGGAATGATTTGATTAAATTCAATATACATATTTTTAAGATTTATTTATTTCTGCATATAAGAGCTAGGGTGTAGGCCAGAGGTATGGGGGGAGAAAGGAGAGGATTCACCAAAGAATGAATGGGGAGCAGAACAGGCAGATCTACTGAGACACACTGTGGAGGGGAGCAGGAGGTGAGAAAGGAGAGGTCTGCTGCACCATGTGTTAGCTCCCTGGCTGGGGATTGAACTCATGCTGCTGTGGCTGAGGACAACTTCACAGTGCTGAGATTTAACCCCTTGTACCACCAAAGAGGCCCCGGTATACATTTCTTAAGAAAAATACTTACTCTATGACAGCTCTGTATAGAAGTGTTAGACATGCAACTGTTATGTAAAACCAAACAAACAAAAAAAACACACCTGTCTTATAAATCTTAAAATCTTATCAAAACATTATAGAAGTATGACAGGAGTAAGCTAATAATTTTTATTTAATGCTCATTTACTACTTACTATGGACATGTATTATGATAAGACTTCAAGTACATCTCACTTAATCTTCATAAGTTTGATGTAAGGAAGATGTTAATATATCAATTTTGTAGAAAAGAAAATTGAGACTTCAAACTGTAATGAGTTATATCCTAGCCCATACAGGAAAAATGAGGCACTATGTGGAATATACCTCAGGTATATCTGATTTGGAAATTAATGAAATGAAACTTAAGACCAGTTCCTATCAAATTTTAGTAGTTTATGGACCCTCATTAAAAGAAAAATATTTCTCAAGTTTTACTATAGAAATAAATTATCATTATGGTGAAGATTCTTAAACATGGGCACATAAGTAACTGAAATTCTTATAAAGTTGTAGAATTATAAAAATAAAGCAATATTGGGTTTTGCAAATTTTATGCATCAAATAAAATCAAAATGTTACATTCAAAATGTAACATTTTTTTGAAGTAACATAGTTTTGCAACATTGCTGATGATTTAGAAGAGTAGGATCACCCACTTCAGGTTTTGTTGCTATATCACACCCATCACCAAGACACCCCCAGTCCTTCACCACAGTCCATTATGCTCCCTCCTCACTTTGCCCCTCTGGTAACCTCAATTCTACAGTCATATTTTTGGAGTTTGTTAATGGTTTGGGTTTATCTGATCCTTTGCTTTGTTTCTTTATATTCCACATAAAAATGTTCTGTCTTGAATTATTTTGCTTAACATAATCCCTTCCAGTTCTGTTTATGCTGTTGCAAATGATAAGAGTTTATCTTTTTTATAGCTGAGTAATATTCCATTGTATATAGATAACCACATCTTTCTAATTGACTCATCTTCCTTAGACACTTAGGTGTTTCCATAGCTTTTCTTGGAGATAGTGCTTCAATTAATCAAAGTGCATATATCCATTTGAATTAGTGTTTTTGCATTCTTTAGGTAAATGCCAAGGAATTAAATTGCTGGATTGTATGGAAATAAGAGTTGGCTGTCAAATGAGTAAGGGTTATATGTGTGTGTGTGTGTGTGTTTAGTCTTGCTACATAAAATAAAGGATTGAGGTAGTGGGATAGAGAAAAAACATGTATGTGGTGAGGGATCCATTTTTAATATTTGAGAAATCTCCATGCTGTTTTCTATAGGAGCTATACCAGCCTGCGTTTTCACCAACATTTTGAGGCTTCCTTTTTCTTCCCATCCTTGGCAATAAATTTCTTCTAATCTTTTTGATATAGGCATATTCCCAGGGTGAAGAGATATCTCATTAAGGTTTTGATTTGCATTTCCATGATAAGTGATGAGTGAGCATTTCTTCCATGTGCCTGCTGGTCATGTGTATGTCTTGTTTGGAGATGTGCCTGTTAAGTTTTTTCTAACCAATTTGTTTTGCTTATTTTCTTTTTGTTGAGTTTTATATGCACTTTGTAGATCTTAGATATCAGTCTTTATCAGATATATGGTGTGCAAATACTTCCACTCAGTAGGGTATCCTTTTGTTTAAATGAAACATAACATTTTAATTTGAAGCATTCTGGGGGTGCATTATTATTTTTGTAAATCAATGTTTTCTATAATAAATTTTCAAATGTGAATTATGTATTGATGACTATAGTCCAACCTGTTTATTACTCTGCATATGTTATATTTTGCTGCAATTATAACAATGCCAAATCTCAAAGGATTAGCATATAGAATTCTATCTCATGGTCCATGTCAGATGACTGTCTTGGTCAGGGTTTGCCATCTAATTTCAGGACCTTCATGCTAGTACTAAAGCAGAGAAATTACTGGAAAGATATCCAGAATTATTTCATCTGCCTCAGCCCTGAAGATTGTTCAGACCAGTCAAACGGCCCCATTGATATAGATCAGAGTAAGAGGGCTGGAAAGAGCCAACTATTTTTGTCCAAAAACAACAATGTGATATTGTTTGTTATATATAAATAATGACTACCGCAATTCTAAAATTGAAATTTTGTGCCCCAAAATTATGAGTGTTCATGCATAATAAAGGACAAGTTTATTGTCTATTATTAGTAAATTATTAAACATAAATACATAGTATATGTAGATAATTGGTAATTTTTTTTTGATATTAGTACTAGAGCCAGTAATATATGTCTCTTGATATGTTAAAAGCTAAATAATGATTGCTATTTCTAGAAGTGTTCTCTTGGTGCAAACTAAATTATAAATATGGACCATAAACTATTAGGCAATATTGGTTAAAATATGGTCATTGATATAGATCAGAGTAAGAATTTTTAATTATCATCAAAAGAAAAACTCAGTGTTGTATAGACAAGTCATGGCCACAAGATTATTTTACCAACCCGATAGCTGGAGAAACAATATATTCTATCTTTAGAGCTAAGTGCCAATGAGTGAAATACAAATCGAATGTTCAAGAACAAGGTCATTGTGGACTCTAGTGGTATTTAAAGGATTCTCAGGCTGGAAGCACTTGACCTCTGTGCTTTGGTAAATGATAGAGCTTAAAGAGGCATAGAGGAGGAGAGAATTGAAATCTGAACACACTGATCATCATAAAAAGGAGAAGGCAGGAAAAGTAAGGAGAGGTTTATGGGTGAAGAAGTTAAACTTATTTGGAATAAAGAGTTTGTTCTAAAGAGTTTTTTAGTATTTCCTTTTATATATGAGTAGTCAGAAAAAAACCTGACTCAAAAAATATGTCTCATTGATGGTGTTTTGGGAAAAATACTGTAATTTTTTTTTGGTGGCCAGTAGTTGCAACTCTGAAACATAATGATTGCCATATGTTAAATACCTGTGATATTGTGTTAAATACAGGATATTGTGTCAGATACTTTACATAAAATATCCAATTTCATGATAACTTGAATTCTGAAAGTTAATCTTAACATTGTTCCAGAAAAGAGAACAGAAGTTCACAAATATTGGGTAGTTTCTCTATTTACAAATAATATGTACACCATAGGAAAGGTTTTAACCAGTTTGACAACAAATTGAAGTTCTTTTTACTTCATCTTGCTAAGAGAGGGTTGCACATCTGTGGCCCTTTGTTAAGCAAATGTATTCATAGGTAGATGTCCACCTCCACCTCTGTGTACTCATCTTTACTGATGTAAATTTTGTTACTTTCACAGGACTCTACATATAAGTTGTAATTGATCAACATTGCTACTAATACAGCATTCGTTTTTTTTCATTAAAAAGTGGAAAGTCAAGTCAGAAATGTTTCTAATACCACAATAAACTATTGACTATTAGGTTCTTATTAGGCAGTATGCATTCAAAGGATGAAGCATAGGAAAGTAAGAATGAATAACTAGTAAATTTCATTGTTCAAAAGTGGGGGCAGAATCAAGGTTTCTTGCCCTTCCTTGGATCTAATGGAGCTTATTTAGTGGAGAAAACTACCTGAAAAAATACCAAGTTTTGTTTATAAAATGCCTGGCAGTCTATATAGTATGATATTCAAATTGTGTTAATCAAATATTTGTGTTAAGTATTCTCTAAACACAGGCCACTAGGCCTTGAAAATCCTCCCATATCTATTACTTTAAGAACAAATGTTCAAGTAGCCAACATAGCCCACAAATTAATGTAGTCTTTGCCTCTTCTGACTTTCTAGCATCAACTGATAAAGCTCCCAACAGTGCTTCCACATTCCTGCTGCCAGACAATTTCTGAGATGCATGCTGGACAATTCTCTGAGTGCAATATAGAGTAGGTAAGAGCAGAGTCTCTGGAGCCAGCTCATGAACCAGGTAAGTCACTTAAGTTTGCTATACCTCATTTTTTTTCATCTTTAAAATGGTGCTAATGATAGTACCTACTCCAACGTGTTGTTATGAGAATTAAAAAAGTTAATTGTTAAGTGTGTGGAAAAGTACCTGGTCCTTAACACTTGCTTAATAATATGGCATTGATTGAAAATACTTTTTTTTTTTTTTTTGTAAAATGAAAGAAACCACAAGCACAAAGAATTAAGGCACATAATCCACCCTGGAAATTTTGGACTGATTAACAGAAAAAGTTATGGAACTAGAGTGGTGGTGACAAAAATGGAATGTGTGCTGAAAACAAGTTTGTTCTATTTTGATCAGTTGAAATGTGGGATAGACTTGAGAATGTTTATAGAAGAAAGGAAAGACTCAGAGCAAGGACAAACCTGAAGGTAAGGGAAGCAAATCCAAGAGAAGATAGCAGAGTATGAGATCAATGCTGTAAGTGAAATAATTGACTTTAAACAGAAGGAGAGACAAATAATTGCTATGAATTCTTTTGCACCCCATTATCTTAAACCCACATTTCTGTTTAGAAACCATGAACTATAATGGGTATCACAGCTTTCTTCCTTATTGAGAGATGTCTTGTGTCACTGACTTTCACAAATTTTCTCTACTTTGTATGCTGTTAACTTGATGTTTAATCCATAAACCTGCTGCTTTTTGTGCTTAGAATGCCTTTTCCTTTAAATTCATCTCTCCCATACAGATTTCTCAATTAGGTGACTATTCAACCATTGAAACACTTTTTACTTCCCAAAAACTTCTTTGGCATTTCCAGAAACATAGTAAACACATTAAGGGCATTGATTGCATTCTCATGCCCCCTGAGTGGGATGTCATCCTTTGGTCCCCACTGTTTGCCAATAACAGCCTCACAGAGAAAAGCTACAAACAGGGCAGGGGCTATGTTCATTGAATCTACTTCTCAGATCACAGCATAGTTTCCTGAGTTATATGGGAACTTATGTGCCATTTGATAATGAGAACTATCATTTGTATGTAAGAAAGCTCTTAAAATTGACTTAACAAAAGCAGGGCACGGGAAATGTACTAATTTGTCAGACCATCTAGCAGCTTCAATCTTAGACATGTTAGCTTATGAATTCTTTTAGAATTTTTGAAAGTTATATTTGAATCTTAGATTTAAATGCTCACTCATTTATTTGAAATCATTAGGGATGTGATTTCAAATAGAAATTTGGCTCTAGAACCAACAACTAAAACTATGGTACATAGTTTAGTTTCTTTGTATATTTAAAATTACCTAGTATATGGACACCTTCTGGACATGTTGTGTTTTCCTATCATATGCTCTACACCTGACAAAAAGCAAAACTTTCAAGGCATGTTTTCATATAATTTCCCCCCCAAATGTGTGCATTTCCTTTTATTTTAAGTAAGATGGGAAAATAAGTTCAAAAAATAACTCAGTTACATTATCAAAGAAGAACTTAGGAGTTTAGCTATAACATTCCCATTAAGCCTATAAAAGTGAATAAGTAAAGCCATGTTCTGACTTTGTAACTTTAACCATTAGTAATCATCAAAACACTGTGAAAAGTGATTTCAAGATCAAAGCAAAACAGCAACTTGAAAGGCAGAGAGCTAGTGCTGAAAAAGCAGGGTCCTCATATTATAACCCCTGTTATAAGGTTGCAAGAAATCAGGTAAACAAGACCTGGATATGAAATGGACCTCTCTGAGAATCTACCAAATTTATAAGTATGTCTTATAATACTGCAGTTACTTTCAAAATATCTGCTCCATTCCACAGATGAAATCCAAGAGTTCTTTGTGAAATCAATAAACTAGCTTTAATCCCCTAAACATTATGGTAAGAAGACCATGTAATGATCACTTAAGCCTATACATTTTGAAAGGAAAAGATAATGCTATTCATAATTGCACATCAAAAATTCTATTAATTTGGCATTTCCTAGGCAAATGGAGAAGTATCCTTCCATGGTGCCTTAAAATAAAATGAATGTTGTTCACTTGTCCATAGATTAACATTGCTTTTGAAATCTTACCCAAGTCTCAGTCACTTCACTTTGTGTGTTGCCCACTAAGCATTCCTAGTAATCGCAAATATAGGTGGCATGTTACCTTTAGGTTATTATATCACTTCATGCCAACCTTAAGACACTTATTATACAAGTATGAATCTAAATGCTAATACTACTACTATATGCAAATATTCTTGATGAAATAATCAATATCATAATTTATAACTCATTCAATATTTTAGGGACTTATATACAAATATCATAGAAATGTTGAAAAATACAATCATTTTTAATCTTCTCATTTTAAACAAAGCTGTTATAGCTTTGTTTTTCCATCTTTATATTCTGTATGATTGTATATGAGTCTCCATTTTCAAACCATCTATTAGTAACTTTTCTATAGCAGAATATGTATTACTATGGGAAGAATCAGTATCCAATTCTTACTCAATTTGAATTTAATTTTATGTTGTCATACAAACTGTAATTATAGCTTCATAGTATGTATATAAAGTTGGGATTGTGCTCTACTTTAACTCATCATGCCCTTTCACTGCATGTTTAAAGTGACACTAGTTTTTCACTATGCTAGCACTAAAATGATTATCTTATTACATACAGCTTTTGCCAGCACTTGAAATTTTATTTTATTTTTAAGATTTATTTTTATTTATTTATGAATATAAGAACTGGGGTCTAGGCCAGAGGTGTGGGTGGGTGAGAGGAATCACCAGAGACAGAGTGGGGACCAGAACAGAGGATCTACTGAAATACACTGCTGAGGTGGGCATTGGGCTAGACAGGAGAGGTCTGCTGCGCCATGTAGTTAGCTCTCTGGCAAGGGTCAAACTCATGCCAAGTGGCTGGCGATAGCTTGATAGTGCTGAGACTTTAACCCCGTGCCACCAGGGAGACCCAACATTTGAAATTTTAAAATATATACCGATGTGCATATTTACTGGACCACATGTTACAAATGAAAAAAAAGTTAACTTTTTCTTTTTAGTACTAGAGTCAAGAGTATCCAAATAAATTTAATTGTATCCTAATTGACTTATTAGAAAAGCATCTGTTTAAATATATTTAGCATGCTTAATGTGATTTAAAATCATGATTAATTTATGACATTTCAATACTAAAATATCATCTCATCTAGTTACCAACCACTCATGTTCAGCTCTTTTATTATTAACATGGTACGCATCTGACTTAGGGATTCTGGTTTGGTTCACTAGAAATGAACAGATACACAGCAATGCAGTAGCTAAAATGGATATGTTAGCAAATGAAAAGTGACAGTATTACTTAAGCATAAAATATGTAGCACTTTTTAAGCCACAATTCAACATTAAGGAAGACAAACTTGTTACTCCAGCTAAAATCTGTCGTTTCAAAGTCAGTGAGACATAAACTAGCTCATCCTTTATGAGCAAAACTTTTTCTACTGAAATATTTGTATTTAAATAATTTTGTCATTATTTTATTGCAAGTAGTGGTTCTAGTCTTGATGCATAGGCATGTGTATATAAACCCATTTCATATCATGAACTAAAAGATCTCCCTGCTTGCTTTCGATAGTTGGTTTCTAGTTTGGTATTCTCAGACTATATAGTCCAAGGATATGTTGGGTATGATTTCAGTTTTCATGAAATTATTGATATTTCTTTTGTGTCCCAGAATGTGGTCTCTTCTGGAAAATGTCCCATGTGTGGTTGATAAATATGTGGATTCTTTTTTTGGGAGTGCAGTTCCGTGTGTCTGTGAGGTCGTGAGGTCTAATTCTTGTTTTAAAGCTATTGCATCCCTGTTTATTTTGTGTCTAGTTGATCTGGTGAGAGTGGGGTGTTATAGTCTCCTACCACAAAGGGTTTTTTTTTCCAATTTTTTTTTCATAGCCCCTAGTGTTTTTCCACATCCGCCGTTGTTCTTCCTGTTTGTTTGTTACCTGCTGATCTACACAGAGGTGCACAGTTGGCTATAAAAAAGGAAGCAAGGAACTTTACTTCTGACAATTAATTATAGGATGGTTTTGCCTAGAAATCTTCCCTCAATGTGTTGAAATAATCCTTTTGAACAAAAACCAAAGATAGGTGTGAAATAGACAAGGGCATTTCTAACTAAAATGTTTTGTGGTTACATTAATGCATACCACTGATAAAATCACAAGCATTTTGCTAGCAGTATCACTATTCACACCAACAGGTATAAATACACCCAGTAGAATTTACAAACCAAGAGAAAGCAGAGAAATGAAAATTAAGAGATATATTTGAGTTTACAAAAGTGCATTAAAGAGGAATCTAGAACAATTATGCTTTAAGCTAACTTCATCAAAAATTGAGAACATATAGTAGTAAATAATATTTCCTAGAAAATAAAGAATGATAAAAGGAATTAAGTTGTTTTGCTAAAGACAGTGTTATCAAGAAAAACAGATATGTGCTCAAATTATGTGTTCATCAAATCTCAACTCCAGTGAACCTTTCCAGTTTCATCTTCCTTCCATGCCCTGTATCCTTTGCTGCTGGGAACTGGCCATTTAGCTTAGAAAAAAAATCTTTGTTAGTCCCACCTCTTACCTCTGTTAGACTGTCTCTGTCTTTCAGTTTTCCTCTGTTAATGGAAATTCTCATAAGTCAAAAAAGAAGCTCCCTCTAAGATACCTACATCATCTAATTCATACTTAATCCCTGCAAAAGTTGCTTAGCACATTGCCTTGGCCTACAAGTCAATACTCTGTAATTAAAATCTTCATAAGTTAGCACAAAAATGATACTCTTCCTATAGAGTAGAAGGAAGACTTTCTGAAACAATCATATGAGTAAATATAATAAATATATACATAAAACAACTAATATTTTTAAGAAAATGTAATACCCTAATAATATAAAGTCCTTTAACTATGAGTCTATGTCCTAAAATTTTTAAGGAATGATTTCATTTTAGTTTGTCAAATCTCTCTTAGGTAAC